TCTGGCGAGCTAAGAAAATGTTTATCTCCCTGAGCCTGGCCTTCATAATTCCATTCCATCAGTTATAATAGCAAAGACATGGTCTGGGCCTGACTGTAGAACAGATCACAAATTACTTTTATGCATGTTCCAAGTTAAACTAAAACAGAAGAAGCAAGCTAACCAGTTTCCACAATATGATCTTGAGCATACACCCACCATTTTCAAGGAGAACATTAAGAATTGCTTTGAAGTCTTGAACCTTATTGATTGGGAACCACAGGAGTTGTGGAATGAAATCAAATAAGTTGTTAAGGATGAATGTGAAAACAGCCTGCCAAACATCAATAAACAGAAGAAAGCAAACTGGATCCAAAATTTTTTTTACTCTTTTTCCATTTTGTCCAGTTCTCAGTGCTATTGGCACATTTCACTTAGTGCATACTACTAGTCGTACATCTTTAACATGAGTTATGTGATGAGTTATTGGAAGACAACTGATACTCTTTAAATACATTTTCGTATTTACTTAACCATGGAGATTTTTTTTTCCTGTGATAATTCTAAATTGACTGAGTCAACCTGTACTTTTTGGATGTTTCTAGACCCGGGATGGTTTTTCACGCATTAGGTATTGCTAATATTTTTACTTGATATAAAAAGCCTTTTAAAGTGAGTTCAGCTATTAAACTGACTTGCACAGCATGATTAATCTAATAAAGAATGAAGATCTTGTCAGTAGGTACAGTTTCAACTCAATCTTCTTTCCAATGTTTCACCTTGTCCACATCATTTGACTCTAAATCATCTTCAAATTCATATTTCTTTGGCACTTCTGGGTAAATTTCTTGAATTGTCTTTGTTGTTTTGCACATTTCATCCACATAGTTATACTTTACACACTTGTGACATTACTACCCATATCTTGGACATCATTTGTATACCTGTTTCATATCATTTTGGCTAAATTGTTTGCATATCTTTGCTCTGTTAGGAAGTTTTATTGCCTGCTGCTGGTTCCTATGTTAGGGCCAAAGGTGTGTTACTGTCCTCAGCCCCCTTTTAAAAGTTTCACCATTGGCCTTCCACATTGCTGGTAAGAAATTCAGCTTCACTTCTGAAACCACATGTTGTTCATTTATAGAGATGCAATAAGACAAGGTGAACTATTCTGATAAAAATAATCTTGATCTCAATTCTGACCTGGAACAAAAAGCAACTTAAGACATTGCAAGGAACATCCAATACTCCCCCTAACATGGATGGATTCTACTTCACAGTTAGTGGGACCAAGCTTTGTGTAAAAAATTAAGCTTCAGTCAATCATTGAAATCACAATCAGTGCTTGTTTTTGCTCAGTTCTCTACCTACTTTGGCCCTAATTTTGTGTTAAGCGCGTATCAGCCTACCTGAAATCACTTTCTTCAAAATTTGGTTTGAACAGCTGAAAATTAGCAAAATCAATCAATGAGGTTGGCTGGAATTTGTGAAGGAGTTGCATCCTTGCCTAGACCTCAGATACATTTATTTATGGATTTACTTATTTCAGTTTATTTATAGCTGGGAGAAATTCTGCCCTTCTGGAATAGAAGAAGGAAATGACGGGCAATGAACACCTTTGAGTATTTAAGGAAGCATGAGTACTGTGGGCATTTTACTTCCTTGTAGATTGTAAAAAATGTTAAGTATTTGTAATATGCCTCCTGTTCAGGGCCATATCCCTTATTTTCCAGGCCAAAGTTTTTAACTTATTGTCAGAATATTTAACTTTGCTTTTTTCAAAGTTGATCTGCAGTGAAGGTTCCCTACTGGAAAGGGTCAAAGCTTTCATTGTTCTCCTTAGAACCTCTGGGGCTCTTGGACCTCCTTTATCTTCATCCAGTATCACTGCTGCCACAGATTTCCTGATGAACTTCAGGAGAAAATGGTCCTCCCTGGTTAAATAGCCCCATTGCTTTAATGCAAAATCTGAGAGTGAAGTAAACATACATCCTTCTTTACATACCTTCCTATTTGAACTGACCATGAAAGATGTTCACTATACAGGGTTGCACTTCATCTTCCAATAGGTGTTATGGTATTATGAAAGCAAGAGGGTAAGGAGATGACAATTCACTGAGGAAATTTTGAGTTTCTACTAAAGGATTTCCCTGGGTACTGAGTCAAAAGCCTTCTATGAAAGCCTGTGAAAGCAATAGACAAAGCTACTTTTGGATGAAATGATAAAATACTGAGTTCAGATCCCACATGGATTGGTTTGATCTAAGGCCATTCTGCTCATCTACCAAGGCATTTTCTCCTTCCTGCCATTCTAGGAGCTTCTAGGATGAGCATAAGAATCAGTAAAACAAGCTAAAGATCTTGAATACAGCTTGCTGACAAGACTTAGCTTGCTGGCCAAGACCTAGTTAATTTTTCATACCTTTTCTGGAAATGCTGACAATTATGGGCAAACCCTCCTCTTAGTGTTTATCAGCTGATCTTACATTGTCAATGAAGAGTGAAACCAGGGTTGGTTTCCCCGGTAGACAAAATAATTCTCTATGAATTCAAATGCATTAATCCTTTCTGGGACCTTTCTAGGTTTGATTTGCCTAATTAATCTGCCTCCTTCTGAAACCACAAGTGGTGGCCAATCATTTAGCACCAGCCCAGGGAATTCCTATTGCGGTGAGACTCCAAAATTTATCCAGGGCATTAACTCTGACAACTGCTCTTCATGGCTTCCAGGCACCTTCTTCTGTATTCTTTTGTGTGTGTTTTTTTTTAATTGTTTAATTGTTTTTTTTTCATTGTTAATAAATATTTATAATGCTCTACTGGATAAGGAGTGTTCTGTTAATGTTGCCAGAAGATGCTATAAATGACAGCAATCCTGTTCACACCAGTGATTTGATTCGTGTTTCATAACATGCTCCTGCTTACTGCAAAAATGGCTTATTGTCTGCCAGTAGAGCCCAGTCAGGATCTCCTAGCACCAAAATATTTTTTCATGGGGTTGGCTTGTAATGTAGCTATTCAAAATCTCAGCCAAGACTCGGCTCACTTTCACTGACCGTCTTATACAAGACAGCCTCAGCTTGATTCCACATTTGCAGTTGACAGAACAACAAGGACTCTACCACACATCCCTGTACTCTGGGTGAAGGAGTGGAGCTCACGGTAAGTGATCACTACCTGCCTGGAGAGGAAATAGCAGCAATATTTATCAGTGGCTGTAAATGTTTCTGAGAGATGGCTGTATATGATGCCCAGTTTAGATCCAGCCCCCAGAGTAATTTCCCCTGATCTATTCCATTCCCACAAACATTCCGATTTTCATTTATAATGGAGACATCTCCTTGGCTGGAAAATTGCACCAGGAAATGCTTTGTGATATTTCATTTCCTATCTTTGGTCTAATGTAGATCGAAAGGAACTGTTGCATTGAGGAGGCTGCCAAAATTCTAGATGCAGAGCTGGGTCACTTTGTCTGTCCTGTCATTAAAGTCTCTGCCTATGATCAGCAGAGCCACAGGCTGGATGGTTGTTAGTTTAACTGTGCTACTTCCTATTCCAGAACTCTGGACTGCCAACTGCTGACCAGCCATTGGATGGCAGAAACTTTAATGCGATACAACAAGGCAAGGCAGCGTATAAAACCATACCACCAACCAGACTCCAGAAGAAAGGGACCGGCTTAGATTAGGAGGACAGTAAAGTTAGGAAAGACGTAGAGGAAGTCAAAGTTAGCAAAACATTGAGATACGGGGTGAGAGATATTATATGAGGCAGAGTAGAGCCAGAGTAGGATATTAGAGTAATAGAGTAGGCGTAGTATAAGGCTACATAGCATAGTAGATTAGAAATATAGCATATGTAATGTAATAGTTTAGGACATTGGGCTAGGTAGAGATAGGGACCTAGTTCTTTTTTATTTGTCTACATTTGTGTTTTTCTTGTCCCCTTTGTAGTCCTGTGCAATACAAATGGTGCAGAACGTCTCTTTTTGTTATATGGTAGACAAAAAGAAAAAAAATGGGTCCAGTTTTGATAGGGGCTTCA